CTGAAGGAGTTTGAGTCAGCTTTGTTCTGCAGGAAAACGATCTTGTTGTTCAGCTTCGCAGGTGCAAAAGATTTAAGGTTTGGACAGCTTGTCTAGTCTCTGAGCTAGAGATCTGCTAAGAGATGGCCAGTCTCCAGCTTTCTCTCTCGACTGACGAGAAAGCAGAGCGGCTGGTTTATATACCCGCTGTTATCTAAGACCAAACTTACCAAGAATCTCAGAAACACGCTCAGAGTCTCTGAGTCTAGGGACAAGGTTAGTTATGTGTCATGCGTTCTTATCTTAGCCTTACTTCTTCTTACTTCTTCTGTAATGATGACCTCATCCAGTAAACATTACTAACCCATCATTGAATACAGATTCCTGAACATTTCATTGCTTAATCATACGTGGCAATATGTAATGGTTTTTAATCATAAAATCTTCTTTCTTCAATGATTATTTTGAATTATAAAATGATTACTTTAATTATGAAATCTTCTTTTCTTTTGGAGAATAAAAAGTGTATCTAAAGAGTTCTCTTGTGAGGAACCTTGGGGAAAGGAATGCTACTGTTCATCTTTATTATCTGATGAAGCTGCGCTCAGCTGATGAAGTCATCTGATTAAAATGCTGAGTTCTTCAGACTCACAGACCCCTGACAAGGGAAGACACAGCAGAACATGTAACAGCCAGGGTTATTTGCTCTGGCTGCATACGACCTGTGGGATCTTTAAACTCCGTCCATTTCATGACGCTACAAAAGTTTACAAAAGTACGGAATTCGGTCAAATAAGGAATCCGATGTCTGTCAGAGCTTGGTTCGCCTCGCCGGCAGTAAATCAAACTTTTTTCCGATGAGAGTTGGACTCCGCCAAGGCTGCTCTTCGTCACCGATTCTGTTCAAGCGGACAAAATGAGTTTTCTCTGCAGGGTGTCTGGGCTCTCCCTTAGAGATAGGGGGATAATAAATAAATAAATAAATAAATAAATAAATAAATAAATAAATAAAAGAGATAGGGGGATAATTAATAAATAAATAAATAAATAAATAAATAAATAAATAAATAAATAAATGAGATAGGGGGATAATTAATAAATAAATAAATAAATAAAAGAGATAGGGGGATAATAAATAAATAAATAAATAAATAAATAAAAGAGATAGGGGGATGAGCTCAGTCATCCGGGAGGGGCTAGATCTGCTGCCCCTCTACATCTAGAGGAGCCAGATGAGGTGACTCAGGCATCCAGTTAGGACGCCTCCCTGGTGAGGTTTTCTGAGCATGTCCAACCAGGTGAAGACCCAGCGGAAGACCTAGGACACGCTAGAGGGACAATGCTCCTCGGCTGGCTAGGGAACTCCTTGGGATTCCCCGGTGGACTGAAGGAAGTCTAGGCCTCTCTGCTTAGGCCGCTGCCCCCTCAACCCAGCTCTGGGTAAGCAAATGAAAATGGATGGATGGATTTAAAAATTCCTGCTCAGTGGAACAAAAGGAGACAATCACTTGTTTGTTCTTTAGGATGACCTGAGAAACAGTTTTATCTCGCCCACGTCTTCCTTTAAAGACAATCAGAAACATGATTTTATCCTCATTTCCTCACAGATTCACCTTTAATTCAGTTCCACTCACTCCCACTTTTCTACAGTCAGTTATTTTGTTTTAGTTTTTTTTTCTGATGTAGAAAATTTTAATATTAAATTATTAATAAAAGGACTCGAGGAGGACAGCGTCATTCTCAAGAACCGAGAACCATACACACACTTATACAGGCATCAGGGGCAACGCACATGAACTACATCATTTAAAATAATATTTATGATTAGTATTTCATTTCAGCATTTCTAAATTTAAAGGTACAATAATAATATAATAATAATCACAGAACAGTCTAATATCTCTGTGATGCTGGAAGGAAGACATTAGAACAGACTTATTTTCTCAGCCGGCTGCGGGGCTGTCCTTTTTAAAGAGGGACCTAGCCTTTGCTTAGATTGTGTGAGCCTGTGGGGTTGCCAGGTCTGTGCCAGCAAATGCTGCAGCATCTGCATTAGTAATTCGATACTGGCTGGCTAGTTGTGGACATGTTGGACAAGTAAACAGGAGTGACCCAGAAGTGTTTTTTATTCCCCTAAAAGCCACGACATCTTTTGGTTTTACCCTAATATCGGGTAAAGATGGTCAGAGGCTAACGTTGAGCTAACAATGCTAGCAGTGAAATAGCAACAAATACTCAGCTCTAAAAATGTCGCAAACTATTTATTCTATTGCCAACAACTCCAAAACCACCAAATAGTTCCCGAGTGCAGCCATGTCTGCAGCCTACCGCTCCTTGCGGGATGGGTCAAATATGTAGGACAGTTTTCACCACACCACACCAGTGTGTGTGTGTGTGTGTGTGTGTGTGTGTGTGTGTGTGTGTGTGTGTGTGTGTGTGTTTGTTTACTTGTCTATGCATCAAAGTGAGGACCAACAAGCTGCAAACTGACTTTGGTATAATGTTCCAGAACTCTAGAGTTATGGTCGGTGTTGCCAGATGAGATTGACAGTCTCCAGCCCAATCCAAAAATAACCAGCCCGATCCAGGAAGTTGCCAGAAACCGGTGTAAACCCGTAAAATAATCACAAAGGCAATGGAAAACACTCATATGAGCTTTATATCACTCAATTGCAACATATTTGGTAGGTTATGATAAATTTGCGACCAACAAACAGCACAATAAATCTACTGAATATGCTGGACATACTGCAAAACAAATCATTATTTATTACGAGTGATGCTGGCAACCCTTGCCTGATGCTGATAAACACACAAGACCTGCCTGAGCAGCACAGAGCAGCTGAATGACCACAGATTTCAATGCCTTAGAATAAGTTAGAGTTAAAACAACAGTCACAGTGCAAATAGGATCATGTTACAGAAAAAACACCTAACCTTTACACAGAAACTGCTTCGGTTTTTCCATAAACTTGACCAACGTTGAGAACTTGAAGAACTATTTACGGTCACTGGAAGCCATGGAGGCTGGCTAATGCATCTTTGAATCAGATCTCCCCAACAGCTGCCGCGGAGGTTTGAAAGTAGCAGACGTCCGTCTGTTTCTGCTCAGGCCAGAGCGCACATTTCCACAATATTAAAAACCCGCCAAATGTGGGCAAAAGCAGCTCAGTTTTCATCCACCTGCCCAACGCAGTCTTCCCCGCCAGGTGTAACTAAAAGAACTCCAATTGGGCAACCCCGGGTAAGGTTAGGGTTAGAAGACTGGTTAGGGTTAGGCACAATCCAGTCACTAAAATGAATGGAAGTCAATGACGGTTCTCACGTTGACTGCTAGACGAGAATGTGTGTGTGGGGAGCAGCTGATGTTTGTCATTCTCAGACGTTTCTTATTGATTTTACTTTAATGCGCGCCATCGTTCAGGGCATGAAGGACAAAGTGTTGGGATGATCACCCCCAGCTGCTTTTGCAGCAGCGACTCGTAACACCAGGAGGAGGTTTTTCTCCACGTCCACATGATAACAGCCTTCCATTCATTTTTAGCATCACGAATGTTTCCTTTTCCCTTTGGTCCCAGATCCGCGCGTCTCTGGAGTGAGGCGGCTCTTGGAATAGGCTTCATCAGCAGCGTAAATCACAGCGCCTAATCGCCTTCATTAACAATCACAACACTTCTGCATGTGTGTGTATGTCGCTCTAATTGGGGCTATTTGTCCCCATCAGTTTGGAGACACAGAGCTGCTCTTGCCTTTTAATTCACAGCACAGACAACTGGTGCACCAAAGATGCTCTGAGCTCCTCTGCTGGTATTAAAACTAAAATCTAATTACATTTACATGGACTTACACAGCTTTTATTAGTATTTTAAAAGATGTGCTGGTGAACCTTTTAGCCATGAATAAAAATACATTCTCAAATGGGTTGGCTCACAATTCTCAGGCTTTGTATTTTCCTTCATGCTCTTTATCACTTTAACAGATCTGACAATAAAATACGAATCATCAGATGAACAAACACGCATACAGACGTTGCTTAGTGAATAAAACGTACGTCAGAACCCAGAAAGACTTGGTGGTCCAACCAGAAGGAGAAGAGGAAGAAACAAGCTTTTCTATAGAGCCTCTCAAGAACAAAATCATGAGGTGCTTAGCAAAAACAAGATAATAATAATAATAATAATAATAATAATAATAATAAAACATACAAATATAAAAGCAGAGAGCTGCTTTTTGCGGATGATGTGGTCCTCCTAGCTTCATCCAGCTCTGACCTTCAGCTCTTGCTGGGTAGGTTAGCGGCCGAGTGTGAAGCGGCTGGGATGAGGATCAGCACCTCCAAATCTGAGACCATGGTTCTCGACCGGAAAAGGGTGGCTTGCCAACTCCGGGTCGGGAGAGAGGTCCTACCTCAAGTGGAGGAGTTTAAGTATCTCGGGGTCTTGTTCACGAGTGAGGGTGGGAGGGATCGGGAGATCGACAGGCGGATTGGTTCGGCGTCTGCAGTGATGCGGACGCTGAGCCGATCTGTCGTGGGGAAGAGGGAGCTGAGCCAGAAAGCCAGGCTCTCGATTTACCGGTCGATCTACGTCCCAATCCTCACCTATGGTCATGAGCTTTGGGTAATGACCGAAAGAACGAGATCGCGGATACAAGCGGCCGAAATGAGTTTCCTCCGTAGGGTGGCCGGGCTCATCCTTAGAGATAGGGTGAGGAGCTCGGACATTCGGGAGGGACTCGGAGTAGAACCGCTGCTGCTCCGGATCGAAAGGAGTCAGTTGAGGTGGTTTGGGCATCTGGTCAGGATGCCTCCTGGACGCCTCCCTGGGGAGGTGTTTCGGACATGTCCTGCCTGCAGGAGGCCCCCGGGTCGACCCAGGACACGTTGGAGAGGTTACATCTCCAATCTGGTCCGGGAACGCCTTGGGGTCCTGCCGGAGGAGCTGGTGGAGGTGGCCGGGGAGAGGACGGTCTGGAGCTCCCTAGTTGGGATGCTGCCCCCGCGACCCGGACCCGGATAAGCGGAGGAAGACGATGACGACAAATATAAAAGATTTAACAGTAGGCATGTTTCCATTACCAGAACTCCAGGGTAGTTCCTGGGATGGGGAACTTGACCAGGAGATAGGATGTCCCAGTCCTCTCAGCTGTTGTGTCTCCATTCAAATCCAGCCCTTTCAGAACTTGCAGTCGTATCGCGACTGCTGTGGCAGTGAGTGATGTCACCAATCAGCCCCAAAAAGCACCCAAAGTAGCATTAATAATATTAAAAGCATTTATTTTATAGAAGTATATCATCTAATCCATTCGGAGGACGTGAGCAGCTCTGAGTTTTGTGAGATGAGCCCCGTTAATTAAGTCCGTGGGGGATTTCCCCGTTTTTTTCCAACAGCTGAAGGGGAATTCCACCAAGTTTTCCGGTGTCGGGAGTTCGATTTTAAATGCAATCGATGCTTTTTTTTTTTTTTTTTGCTTCCATTCTGCTTCACCAGCTACTCTTCTAACTTTACTGCTGCCGGTTGTTTTGGACGTCTGCTGATGTCATTTCCTACTGAGTTCCAACCAATCAGGGTGAGTTACCCGGAGGTTCCGCTTAGCTGCTCCATCAGGCCACTCGAGGTACATACTCCAGAGCAGGTGCTCAGAAGGTTCCTGAAAACAGCCCAAGAACAGGCCCGGTCAGGTGGAGACACGCACGTCGGGAGGTTCCTGTAAATCTGCCCTGAAGTTCTCGTAGTGGAGACACACCTCTTGATTTAAAAAAAATAAAATCATAAAAAGGGTAAAAGTTAAAAATTGTGATGAAAAATGTGAGGAAAGAGAAAATAAATAAGAAAGAGGTCATCAGTGATCCCTGGGAACGGCACAACTGGTAGAAGAGAACTGTTCATCAGTAGGAATCTTGTGTTTGACCCATCTCTGTCTGACGCGGTCCTGCTCTGGTGCTTTCCTCGACACACTGCTGCTCTCATGTTGGACTCTAGAAGATCTTTGGTATCCAGACCAACCCAAACCATCAACCCTCCACCACCGTGCTGACAGCTGTTAGTGTTGATCTGCTAGGTCTGGTTTTCTGCAGATGTGCCCCTATGCATTATGGGTAAACATCCCCAACTCATCTCAAAGTTCCAGAAGTCTTGATCAAATAAATCTTTACCGAGCTGAGCTGAGCTGCGATGTTTAAACTTTGAGAGAGAAAATGAACGCTAACCTTTACCTGCTAGCTGAGGCCTGTGAGGGTTACGATGGAAGGTTTGTTGTTGCGTTTATTGAAAATCTGGCAGAACTCGACTTTTCATGGAAAAGAAAACCTTCCATTCATTCTCAGGTTTAGTCGTGTGATGCGTTGCTGCCTGAAGATGTAGAAAACCTTAACATCATAAAAAATAAATCTTTAAACTGAAAGGATGTGTGGGGTGTTGCGCCATATTGTCTCTGAACAGTTCCTTCACTGGATCACCGTCATGTCCTGTCCTTACAGCGATTATGGCTACGAGAGACGGACCGACGGCAGATGCAACCCCGCTTTCTGGTTCCATCCGGCATCCGTATCCAGGAGCTGCACCACGGGGATGACTTTCCTCAACAGCACTGGGTAAGCATGGTCCTGACTACGTTCAGGTTGGGTCAGAACCACGGGAGAATCAATACGTTTATTATGCTCTGCAACAATCGGCTAAATAAAATATGATTTCTTTAAACTAATCATCATGTGACATGCTTTATTAACGAGTCTGTCTGGATAAAGAAGAGCCAGCAGAACGTGATGGAGCTATTTACATGTTTACTGGTATTGGACTGCACACAGAAACCTTTAAACAGGATGCTAATGGGATGTAAAAATATGAAATTTATTAACATTTCATGTTGAGCAACAACAGGCTTTAATGCTTGCTGATTGGTGCAAATAAACAAAGTCTAATCAGGGTTTTAATCAGCTGACATGTTTATCATTAGAAATAATCATCAAAGTTAGTTTAAGAACCTGTTTGGCGATCCCGGCCCAACAGTTACCAGAAACTCATCCAGAACCCACAAGTTTAGTTTTGCACATGAAATATTCGGAGCAGCAAACCGACGCCAACATTAGGATCATCAGAATAAAGGTTCAACTAGTCAGATAAGTGATGTAGACGCGTCGTCAGAGATTATTAAACACATGAAACAGGAAGTCAGATACTCAGGAACACAGAAAAAAATTCATGATCTGAACCTCTTGTTTTTCAGTAGAGTCTCAGGTCACCAGGTGAGAGGTGGGGGACACCTGGACACGTCTCCGGTCCCTCTCAGGGGCACTTTAGAGTCACTAATTAACTTAGCGTGCATGTTCTGCGCAGGGGCGCCGCCAGAAAAGTTTGATGGGGGTGGCCAGACGAGGCCAAAGACATTTTTGGGGTGGCACACCAAATTGGTCCTTGTGGTAACTCTGGGAGAGTTCAGCCTGTGGCGACGAATTGCTTTATTTGTTTTAATTAAAAAGAAAAAAAAGAAAATATTTAAGTTAAATTTTACAAACACAAACATTTCAGAAAAATACACATCAGTTATTTAAAATGTGATTTAAAATTTAATTTTAAAACGTTTTAGTTTAATTCAACAGTTTCTGTGTTCACACAAACTATGGAGATAAAAACTTTTTTTAAACGGTGAGCAGCAGAAACATTTGTGTGTTTTTTTTAATTCAGATTTTTATTTTTCTCTTTAATCGAACCTGGCCAAGGCCACCCCTGGCCACCCTTTGGGCGCGCCATTGGTTCTGTGGGAGGAAGCCAGAGAAACCCATGCGTGCAGTGGGGGAACACGCCGACTCCATGCAGAAAGACTGCAGCTGGGATTCGAACCTGCAACCTTCTTGTTATAAGCAACATTGCCACTAGAATAGTCTAAAACAAGGAATTAATGTTTTTATTGGTTTTAGATTTTAATCATAACAAAGTTTTGTAGATAAAAACTCACATGAGAAGGTTTCACTTTTCTAAACTGAATTTATGTGATGATTCTGTTTTGGCTCCGCCCACAGCTACAGGAAGGTGGTGTCCAATAACTGCACGGCGGGGGTGATCGCCGAGTACACAGCCAGGAGACAACAGTGTCCTGCGCAGGCTCCCAGAGGCCTCCACCTGGTGACCAGCGCGGCTTCGCTGACCGCCACCGTGGGCACCAACGTCACCTTCCTGGTTTTCCTGGAGGAGGTGAGCGGTTTCCTCTAACTTCGGCACAGAACTCTGAAGTTCGTTTGTCCACCGTTATACATTCAGCTCTTCAACATCTACAATGACAAAGATTTCATCACTGCATCTGGGAAAATGTTTCTGTACTGTTTCTATGGCGACGGGAATGCAAAGCTTCTAATTTCCCTCCACATTCATGTTGTTTTCTGATGCTGAGCAGCGAACGTCTCATGTAAAGGTTTAGAGGGAGTAAAGGTCCGTTTCTCATTACCAACGCTAGCACGCTGTTGCGTACTTCAGAAGTATATCCTTGGCAAGTACAGTAGCAAGTACGCACTACTGATTATGGGAGGATGAGGATGGCATTTGAAACAGAACCACGTCCCGTCATGGCAACAAGCACCGCTAAAAATGACCTGAAATTTAAAAAATAGTCTATTTTTTTTCCTGAAATCCCCAAATAACAAGAAATCAGTTTTATTTGTTCGATGTTTGGTCCCCTTTTTTTCCAAATGGTTAAATGACAGCATCTGCTGCTGTTTGTGAAGAGACTACGTTTGTTTTTCATCAGAACGGTGCTATTAGAGGCAAGGGTCGGGAGCCGCCTGGGGCACACCGGAGGCGGCGCTTCTGGGACGCGGCAGAGCTCTTGATCTGACCTCTAATCATGAGAACCTGACCTTTAGTCCAAGTGTCTGACATGATCTTCATCCTTAGTCCCAAATACTGGAGCGCTCCACTCGTTATTGTTTACATAATTGAAAGATCTTCATCCCAAAACAGCATCTCAGATACAAATGAAAAACGTACTGATGCATCGAGGTGTTTGACTTAGTTTCCGACTGTTTGCGGTTCCCCCTGAAGCTGTTTGTGGTCTGCAGGGGGACGGCGCTAGGACGAGCATCACCGTGGACTTTGGAGACGGACACGCTCTGACATACTCCAATGTCAGCTCCATGGAAGACGGCATCAAACACATCTACAAATCCGTGGGAATCTACCGAGTGAGCGCCGTGGCAGAGAACAGCCTCGGCTCAGAGACCACCATGCTCTACCTGCACGTCACATGTGAGGCTCCTGAGGGTCCCGAGTGTTTTCCCTCCTGTCAGGTTGAGCTGGTTCCACTTTTCATCTCCTCATAGAATGTTCACAACCCTGACCCGAACCAAACAAACAAGTAAGGAAGAGCAAATCTGGTTCCTCTTTGTCTGGAGCGGTGGGTATCGGGTCAGATGTAAGAGCGCCCCCTCCAGGTCAGTCCTGGGAGCCAAATAGAGTCACAACGAGCTCAGGAGGGCCACGGATGAACATGACACACAGATTCTGGGCATGCTCACCCACCTAATAAAGTCCCTCTTTCCTGAGATGTTTGGGTTTTGTTTTCTTAACGTTTTCTGTCTGAGTGAGCCGAGCAGAGCTCTCTGTGATGCACGCTTGTGTCTGAGCAGGTCAGCTGGAGCACATCCATCTCTCTGCTCCTTTTGTGGCGCTGAAGAACAAGGAGGTGAACCTGACTGCGGTTCTGTGGCCCAGCCAAGTGGGAACGGTCACCTACATCTGGTGGATCGGAAATAGCACCGAGGTACTTTGCTCCGCTCTCAAACTCACAATTAGGAAGTAGGTTGCTGACTCTGGTGGTTTGCTCAGCTAAATTTGTTCATGCCGCCTGCAGAAAATAGTGGGCTTGTTAATCAGCGCTGATAAGAGATGCAAGGTGCTGATGAATCATAAACACAAAGTATCTCAGCCCACTGGATTATCCCACTGGGGAGACTGGATTCCAGTTTGGACAGATTTATACGTTTTAGCTTGGTGTGATCCGAACACCGATCTGTCAGCCTCGTCTTCTCGGTGACCCTGTCAGCAACGTTCATCAGCCAGTTCAACATGTCCAGTCAGTCAGGAAATGATGTAATTGTGACATCATGGTGAACGACCCTACCAACACGGCACACGTCTTTCTCTTTTCCACAGTTTGAGCATTTTTCACCCAAAACGTGGAAACAGGAGGAAACACGGCCTAGCACTGACATCACACTTATCCACTCAGGTGTGGACTGAATGTGGAGGACATCTATTCAATTCAAGTTTATCTATATAGCACCAAATCACATAGTAAACATTCCAGTACAGGTCAGTTCATTAAGCCAATCAGAAAAAAGTTTCCTATATAAGGAACCCAGCAGGTTGCTTCGAGTTTACAGCAATCCTCATACCAAGCAAGCATGTAGCGACTGTGGAGAGGAAAACTCCCTTTTAACAGGAAGAAACCTCCAGAGAATCCTGGCTCAGTATAAGCAGCCATCCTCCACGACTCACTGGGGATGGAGAAGACAGAGCAGACACACACACACACACACACACACACACACACGCAGACACACACACACACACACACACACACACACACACACACACACCAAGTAATGTGTCTACAGTTATATTGTGATTTCTTAGTAAATATTGTATTTGGCGAGAGAGAAACTTTATTGTATTTATCCTAGTGGATCTATAATTAAACAGGTAAACTAGTATTAGCACATCAAAAGTCAATGAAAACAAAAAGTTATTATCAGGAGAGGGAGAATGTTTAAGTGGTTAGCAGCAGTGTGCTAGACGATGGCCCCCTCCATGAGGCCACCACAGCTCAGCAGAACATCGTTGTAGCTTCTTCTGGGGAGAAAAACACTTAGAGAGAAAATAAAGTTAACAGCTGAAATAGCAGGAAATAATACAGTTAAAGAGCAGACTGTAGAAGAAAGCAGTAGAGTGTGGAAAGTGGTCAGTGTGTCCTCCAGCAGTCTAAGCCTATAGCAGCATAACTACAGAGATAACTCTGGATAATCTATCCTATTTAGATGGAGGCATGTTGGAGGCAGAGCAAGGGAGAGCCGTCTTTACCGACTGTACACTCCACCTCCCTCTACTCCCCCACTTGTCCAGATTTAGGCTAACATCAGATTTTAACTATAGGCCCTATCAAATAAAAATGTTTTAAGCCTATTCTTAAAAGTAGACAAGGTGTCTGCCTCACGGACTAAAGCTGGGAGCTGGTTCCCAGGAGAGGAGCCTGATAACTAAAAGATCTGCCTTCCATCCTAATTTTAGATATTCTGGGAACCACCAGTAGACCTGCAGTCTGAGAGCGAAGTGCTCGGTTAGGAACGTATGGAACAATCAGATCACTGATGTATGATGGAGCTTGATTATTAAGAGCTTTATATGTGAGAAGAAGGATCTTAAAATCTATTCTGAATTTAACAGGTAGCCAATGTAGGGAAGCTAAGACAGGAGAGATATGATCTCTCTTTTTAATTCTCATCAGAACTCTAGCTGCAGCATTTTGGACAAGCTGAAGACTTTTAACTACATTCTGTGGCCTTCCTGAGAGTAATGGATTACAGTAATCCAGTCTTGATGTAATAAATGCATGAACTAGTTTTTCAGCATCACTCCTTTATGCTGATGATTCGTCCAAAACAAAACTCTAGCATTAAACAATGAGATAAAACCTCTGAAAATAACAAAGACCCCCAAAATCCCCACAAATCATCTGTAAAGATGAAGCTTCAAAGATCAGTGCAGCAGTTTTAGTCTCTGAAGACCAAACGGAGTTGTGAGCGGTGACGGGGTGTTGCACGCGGACCTCCCTGCAGGCCTGCACTCCTCTGTGTTATTAGCAGGCTGACACCTTTGTGGAGTAAACAGCAGCAGCATGATGTTAACCAGCTGCTGACGGCGGCCTCTCACGGGAACCCCCAGACTGACTCTCTGTGTGTTTGTGTCCTCCAACAGCCTGCTATTACCCTGGAGGGAAGCGTGGCGTGCACGTTCTCCAAGGAAGGCATCAATACAGTCACCGTGCAGGTGTCTGCTGGGAACAGCATCCTGCAGGACAGGAAAACCATCGCCGTCCACGGTGAGTCAACCGTGACTCGTTCGGTAACACGCTGACAAGATGTCACAACGATCATCTAGGAACTGTGGGAAAACTCTCTCAGTGGCAGAGGGAAGCCATTTTTATTCGTGTTAAATGAACGACACACACGGAAGCGTGTTACTCCCAGATACAGATGTAGTAAAGTTAGGAGTACTGTACTGACCTGTTCAGCCTACAGAGCCACTTCTCCCTCCTCCTGAACAACAGGAGAACCAGACCTCTGTTCCATCAGTGAACGCATGCATGTGTGTAGGGTTCAAATATCTCATCAACCACCGAACGAGTTATAATAAAACTCAGAGTAATCCGATCAGAGCGTCTGTAACTAAGTAACTTTAGGTGTCAGCTAAATTCAAGATGGCCGCCACAGCCGATCAATGTCAGCAAACATAAAAGAATAACTTCAACTGAAAGTTTGACCTGAGAGTCGCTCAGAAACAAAAAAAGAGCAACTGGGATGACATGAGGTTAGCCGGAATGTCGGTGGGTTGGTTTCGGTCACCAAACGCCGCAGGTCACGTGTCTTCCTACGAGGACTGATGGGATCACATCTATCTCAGAAACCTGCACTTCCTCTGAGGAACTCTTGAATCTCAGCTACAAACTCTGGTTTTTGCTCCTGCAGAATTCTTCAGGTCCCACCTGCTCGCCTTTTCATCCAACCTGGACGAGCACAACCCCGATGTTCCGGAGTGGAGGCTGGACGTGAGCCGGGTCATCAAGAACTCCATGATCCAGGTACATCAGTCGCTTCTCTGCTGGGAACACATCCAGAGCTCCACCGGACCTCCCCGGGAATGTTGACATGGCAAACGCCAAGATTAGAGGGACAAGGTGTGTGTGTGTGTGTGTGTGTGTGTGTGTGTGTGTGTGTGTGTGTGTGTGTGTGTGTGTGTGTGTGTGTGTGTGTATGTGTATGTGTATGTGTGCGTGCGTGTGTGTGTGTTTCTGTGTAGGTGTGTGCGTGCGTGCGTGTGTGTGTGTGTGTGTGTGTGCGTGTGTGTGTGTGTGTGTGTGTGTGTGTGTGTGTGTGTGTGTGTGTGTGTGTGCGTGCGTGTGTGTGTGTGCGTGTGTGTGTGTGTGTGTGTGTGTGTGTGTGTGTGTGTGTGTGTGTGTATGCGTTTGTTTGTGTGTGTGTGTGTGTGTGTGTGTTTGTTTCTGTGTGTGTGTGTTTCTGTGTGTGTGTGCGTGCGTGCGTGCGTGTGTGTGTGTGTGCGTGCGTGCGTGCGTGTGTGTGTGTGTGTGTGTGTGCGTGCGTGCGTGTGTGTGTGTGTGTGTTGAGGGCTACACAGGAACTCGCTGCAGAAGCATAAATGTCAGAGTTTGAGCTCCATGGCGACCAGAGGGGTGGTGGGAGATTCTTCACAAGCTGTCGAGTCTAAGAAGGGAATCAAACCCACACACACCAGTTAGAGAGTGACTCATTAACTGGTTTTTGACACTTCCTCACGCTGCCAATATATTTCTAATTCCCAGCCGGAGTCTTGCATCATGTTTTCACTTTTTCTTTTCAGTTATTTTCATCCTCCAAAATCAGAATAGATGCGACTTCCTCTTCGTCTTCTCTGAGTTGGTTTTGCTGCTTTCTACAGACGAGCTCTGCCTCAAAGGCAGAACGTGGGGAGGGACGGAGATTAGGATGAGAATACGATTCGATGGTTTCAGACCTCCTCGATCTTCACTGCAGCAAAACTAGACGGGAAGCAGCTTCTGCGGGCGACGCTCCGTCGCCGTTACACGGCTTTAATTGATAAATGTTCATGTAGGGCTGCTGTTGTTTGAGACTTTAACAAATGTTTGTTTATTGATGTTCTGGGTTAGTTATGGATGTTTGTTTGTTTGTGTCCTCAGCTTGGTTGTTCAGAAAAGTCTCTGTGATCGGTCGTTCCCCCCAACACGCCTCTCAGTAGACCACACTAAACCCGCTGATTTCTGATTCGCACAAAGTTGTGACCGTGATTAAAAAAAGAAATAACGCATAAATTAAGTATTTGCTCCTGCAGGCGGCTCACACACACACACCCTGACATGTTATTTGTTTACAAGAATCCTGATGAATCAGGCCCAACAAAGATGGAGCCGACCGCCGCACAGAGAGATCTCCTCTCCGCTCCTGAAGAGTGATGCAGCCTCTGTTAGGAGCTCCTCTCCTTCTAGAGACGCTTCACTCAGTCAGCGTTTACAAGATGAGATCAAAGCTGATGTGAACTTTTGATCTGACCCCCTCCAGGCTACAGGCATAAGAGAGGACCAGCTTCTGGTCTCGGTCCTTCCGGGTTTACCCACAGCCGCTGAGGTCTTCCTCCTGCTTGACAAGCTGATCACCGAGGGAAGACCAGAGAAGAGCTCGGCTCATCTTGATCAGGTGAGGCAGCGAGTCTGTGGGTGGATGTCACCCCGTTGTCCTCGCTCTAACCTCACCCTACCATCCTATTTCTGCTGTGTAAGTCATGCTGGAGCTTCTCAGCTTGTCCAGTACTTCCTCCTTCCACCAGCAGATGTCAGTATTCATCTACAGATTTTTACTCCACCAGTCTGATTAGAGACGAGCCTGAATGGAGCCTCCCTCTGCAGCAGACGCATCTATAAGCTGGACGTCTATGAACACCTCCCTCCCGTCTCATCCCGCAGCGGCGCTCCAAGGAGCCAGACTGGAAAGCCCAACGTCATCAATCAGCTCACCTTTTAATCCTAAATTAATACATAATGTAGGGATAATCTAATCCCACAGTCCGAGGATGCTGGAATGGAAATCTGTCGGATTTTTCCTCCTTCCTTCCTGCTTGATCTTCTGGAAAGTTCCTCCTCAGCCATGAATCTTCATCCAAGTTCTTGCGAGTAGAGCAGCCTTCGCTTGTTAGAACGTGTACTAGATTTCCTGACCCTGGCGTACAGCGGGAATGAGTCCGACTAAATTTAAACCGTACAGGTGGGAGGATGGAGGAGTGCACAAATGACTCGTATTCATTTGGTAAATGAGACGGATGAGATGAATGAAGTCTCCGCTGCAGCCAAATAAAACATCTGCACAGAGGAAGTGTTGGATGTTATTATCCAGATGCCTTTCATAATCCCGGAATATTGTTCAGCTTCTCATATTTAGATAGTGTGGGTGCGTTAAAGCCCAGAGGAAGCAGGCTCATCTGAATGAAGAGATCCAAGATCGACCCTGAATCACGACGACCCGCCCGGTGGAGGTCACATGTCGGGTCGGGTCGGGCTGATGCATAATGCATCCCAGTGGAACGGTCCGGCAGACAAAGACTCGTCTCACATAAACAGGAATCACGTGTGGACGTTCTGGGTCAGGACAACATAACGCTCCATGTTTATGGAGAATTCTGACAACACCCTGCAGCTTGGTTCTGGTGAGCATCGTGTTTGCATAAAATCCAGTTTTTATTCTCAGAATCACAAATAAAAATCCTAATTAATAAAACGATGTTTACATCTGGAACTAATTAGCATGGCGGGCCACGCTCACCCTGAAGAGCGCATCAGAGGGTCTCTGGACTTGAATCTGTAACTGGACCCACCTCTAGGAGGCTTTTGAGTTCTCCGTCACTGAAAAGGCCCAAAATTCTCTGACCTGAACCCGCCTGCACGAGTCCTCCGGTCCCTCCGCTGCCGTCTGTAGAAGCTTTCTTCAGATTCTCATCCAGGACCTTCAGATATCAAGATGATAACAACACACGTGTAGTTTTATTTGGAAGGGCTGCAGGGTTATTTCTCCTTCTCATCGCTGTTTTTACTTCAGCTTCTTTAAGCAGATATGATTCTTGTTGCTGCTGTCTGATAAAACTAACAGAACCGTTTTCACTTCATAAGCTTCAGAAGTTTCCAGGTATGTTTGAGGCTCTTATTGTGAAGAGTTAATGGATTCTGATTTCCAGTCTGGACCCAACAGCAGGAGCAGAACGCCGCTGATCCGATAGTTTAATTATTTATAGATTAACCTTTAAAAGCAGAACCCTCGGTTGGAAGAGCCACTCATCATCACGGTGGTTATATTTTCAGAATTCCTACTTTAGGATTATTAAAACGTATTTGTTGAGAGCCTCCAGGTGAACGAGACCGGTGGTTCTTGTGCGTTCTGCTGCCAAACCCGAACCCGAACCCAAACCCGGCCTCTGTGTTTAACCCCACAGCTCTCTGAAGTTCTGCTGAACGCCTTGAATCAAAACCTCGTCCAGTTCACGCTGCGGCCGGGGGTCCAGGTCACCGTGTACGCTGCTCACCTGTCAGCAGGTAAACACACAGCTGGTACTGTTGGCTTGGCCCGGCAGGACCTTCGGTAGTGAGTGGGACAAACATAAAGCATGTGGACTTGAAATAGTCAGGATAGTCAGGTACACCTTTCATATGTTTGCTGTCCCCACCCCCACTCAACTAATAACCCCTCCCCTGTGTCTGATTGGCTCCCATCATGTAGCGACACAGAGACATTCAGAGCGTGAGCCTCGTTACACGTATGTGTGCCTCTTCCTATGGGGGACGCTGCTACTTTTAAGATGAGAGTAAGAATATTAAACTGATTCCTGATTCACATGGGTGTCATTTCTGTTCACTGCTCGTTGCATGAGTCAGCAGGCGGGAATACAGCGCGTCTACCTGGCGGCGACGCTCACACCGCGCCTGCTCTTCTCTCCCTGTCTCTGCAGCGCCCCTGGTGGACACCAGCGAGAACCACAGTGGCTCTGCCATGCTCATGCTGCTGTCCGTAGTGGTTGCGGGTTTAGCCGTGTTTGTCGTCTACAAATTCAAGAGGTAACGTCTTCCTGGAACTCCACACAGGTGTTCCCAACGGGACGCTGATAGGATCGGACGCCGCTTACGTTATCAGGTCCTCCATCTGAAACAAGTGTCAGTCAGTCTTCAGCTGCCTTCAGCGTTAGGGCCGTGAACGCAGGCGGCTGAGCTTTCTGAAATGTTAAGTTGTTACCTGCTCCAAAGGAAACAAGCGAAGGGTCACGGCGGTGTACCGACTCAGTAACACATTAAAGGTGTCAGCCGTTAGAGAGGTTGTGTCTGTTTTAGTTTAGACTTCACTCTTAAAATACCGTCTCAACAAAGTACCACTTATTTCAGCATTGAAGATTTATTCAGTGAAGTTGTTTATTTGAATATTTTTGTTTTACTTACAGGTGCAGTTTGTAAGAATTTTACTGTAAAATAATCACAAAACGATCGAACGTCTCCACCGTGTTGGAATGAAGGTCCTACTGGTTTCATTCTCAGCCGGCTGGAGGCTTGTCGGTTTTTCTCCTTTAACAAAATCAAAAGGAGGACATAATTACGGTTTACACTCCGTGAGTTTGTGAGGTTGCCAAGTCTGTGCGGAGCTAACCCAGCAGCGCTTGTAGTTCGACACCAGCATGGCAAAAAGCCCCAGAGTTGTTTAAAGAACCAAAGCCAGTAAACAGGAGCGACCCAGAGGTTGTTTCTTGTACCTCTATGAAATTTTACTCTAATAATGGGTGATGCAGGGTAGAGGTTAACGTTGAGCTAATATTGCTAACAGTGAATTAGAAGCAAATAATCGGCTCTAAAAATGTCTCGGGCTACCTTTTCAGTTACGATTAGCTGTGTGTCACTGGGAAATGTGTGTGTGTGAAGTGAACAACGAGCCGTTCAGAACTATACCAGTAAGATGGTATACAATGCTGTAGAACAACTACCGTAATATGTGTAGTAAGGGCTCCCTATCAAAGAATGTCCAAGAGTACTAACTCCAGACATGACTATGTATTTATGTACTTGTACATTTATACTGTGTATGACTTGTATTTGCTCATCATGTGGTATTTTCTGGTGTTCGTGTGTAACTGGCCACCGCCACGAAACTCACAGAACGGCCGTGAGAAAGTAATATTTTTACTTCAAAAATTTGACTTCAGTAAGCACATTTGACCACAATGATTGTTACAAATTGCACCTTTAAGATTCACCCATTTCATCCATGAAAATTCTACTTCAGAAATCCAACAGGGAAGATTCAACAACAGAGCTGACCTCCTGGTCACTCAAGCCAAAGTAATTAGTCGTGTTCAAGATGAGCAGCGCCTCGCCTGGAAAACAGACGAGAGCAGACGGACGCAGCAGGGGGAGGGGCTGAAAGCCGGCGCTTATGTCGGACAGATTTCCCTACATGTGTAGCTCGCGGGTGACGATGGATGAAGTTATCGCGTTAGAGTTTATACTTGTTTATTTTAATTCTGGTGCCTGTTAGCAGCTGAAACACATCCTCACGTGCTTGTGGATGTCATATATCGTATATGGAGACCTGACTGTAATAATAAGTAAAGGTTATCAGCTGTAGCTTCAGTGTGCTCATAGGAAACGTGACAAAAGAACACATTTCTCTTTATGGCCTATATAGTTGTCATCATCAACGTTACATGATTCACAGAATACATGTGACCTACTAACATTTCATGTTCTACCACCGGATGTTTGGATCAGAAGGTGAACCAATCAGATCTTAGATCAGGTGAGAGCCAGGCGTTTCCCGTCATCCTCTAGGTTTAGCAGCCGGTGGAGAGCAACTGCAGCGCCTTGCTCCAAAATCTGCGGCCGCCTTGATCTCACGAGGTTATCGTTGCCTACGTAGGCATGATGTCAGAGCAAGTCGGCGTCAAGTCGGACACGAATCTAACCGGCGAGCACCGCGTTTCGGTCACCGCTGGTCTAATCAGGGCAGAACTGGCTCATCTGGAACACGGCCGTTGTCACTCCATTGAGTTTAGTGGCTTTTAACCAATCAAATGATGCTTCTCTGATCACGTGACACCAATGAGGCGTCAACCTGAACGAGTGATGATGGCTTTAGCCTGGGTCACCAGGAGGTCACCTCAGTTGTTGGAATTTAGTGGTGAAATTTTTGTGGGTTTATTTTCAGTAAAAAAAACATCAAAAACATAATTTCACAGAATAAAAAATCAGTTTGATGAAGTCCGTATGAAAAAAGTCACCTTGTGTTGAGGCTGTTTGTTCCATCGGCTCCTTCTCCGTTTACCTCACTGTGAATCTTTTCTCAAGGAAGATCCCAGGCCTCAACGTCTATGCGCAGATGCAGAACGAAAAAGAACAAGAACTGACGAGTCCAGCCGATCCGAAGCCCACGCCCAGCTCTCAGCAGGACTTGGTGCCTTCTTTGGAGATTCTGGACACCGAGTTGAACTCGCGGCCCACCGGTGATCCTCAGCTTCTATCTGTGGCTTCATTCACCCTTTCACACCATTGTTTGTTTCACACCGTTTTGTTGCTTCATGACACTCATCCTGCCCTTTGTGTGTTTGTAGTGAAGTGGTCCCGACTGCAGGACTGCTAAAGCACAGCCAGTTAAACAGAGCAGTGACTTCTCGGTGGTACGATGACACGCCGTCCTGCTGCTGAGGTTTAGAGGAACCGGACAGAAAACACATCCTTGTTACTTTAGTTTGGTGGTTTCTGCAGAGCAAACATGAAGTTGTCCAGATCATGTCTTTACATCCTGTTGCTTTCCTGTCATTCATCCAGTTTCCATGACGTCTGACTGTAATGATGTCACCTCGGCTCTCCTGTAGACCTCCTTGAAAATGGAGGCAACATTTGTAGGTTTAGATGAAGTCATCCAGGTTTCCTCACGAGTAAAACAGACGTTAAGCCCCTGCTGATGGAAACTACTTTCAACGTGTCATTTAAACCTTTGGATAAATCATGATGTTAGGTGGACTACGCAGGAAAACACGTAAACTGCAGCGGTTTGTGAAGCGTCTACAGAAAAACCAGAAACAAGTCTAAGAAATGTTTAAATGAACTTCAGATTTATGAGACCAGATGAATTTGGAAAGTTATAAAGTGACGGGGTTCAAATGTTCTTGTTTTGTAGGCTCGTGTTTTTATTACCGGGAACAACCTCTCATGTCTACTGCGATGATGTCATCAAGCAGAGAAAACTGCTTTCCAATCAGCACTGTCGCACGGATCCAAGCACCTCCCCTTTTCTTTTTAAACAAGGCATAGTTGGCTTTAACACATCCCAACAAGCTACTATAATAGTTTTATTATCATGTGTTAATCTTTAATCTGTGGAAATTGGAGCTTTTTTCTGGCCAATTTTAAAGAAAATTCTAAAATACTCTATTTTCCATTTTCCAAAGTAATAATTCAAACCAAAAAAGATTTCATACCTGTGTAAATAGATGTGAAAACAATGTGGAAGTCAGACGTTTGAGAGGATTCCCACTGACGTCACAACCTGGAATAAGATCTGATGTAGATAATAATTCACTTGTGAACACTTTCGGAAATAACACGGAGGCACGTTGATGGTGGCTTATTCTTTATGGATATCTAATTATGTGCAATCGATACCGTTATAAACTGATGCCGATTTATGCAGGGTGCCCCCCCCCCCCCCCCCCCCCCCCATGTCTAAACAAAACTTTACATCAGGTCTGTTATGTTTTGACATTTGAGAGAGAATTTATATCTAGAGAGTTTGGTGTGTATTATGGGCGTGGTGCGTAGACGTTGGGTCATTCGGAGTTACATGTTATTGCCGGCATCGCCATCGATAAACGCAGACCAATAATATCGGACGTCCAGCAGACAAAGCCACAGAAACAAGCAGCAATAAAATATAACAATTAAGTCGATTGTAATTAAAGTTAAAATGATCCATTTCTAGTGTGAAAACCAAAAGAAACATTTGATGTTAACAAATACAGTTTTAAAGATGCTGCTGTAAATAAAAGCAGAAACAGGTTTAGTTTCTTAAATCTGACGAGCTGAGGTGAGACGGTACCGCGGGTCTGATGGTTCTGTTCTGACCCAACTCCTTTTTCCTCTCGTCCCTCTCCAGGATGTATGAAACCTCATCTACATGTGAACTTCTCCACAGAACTCCCCACATACATGGTCTGAACTCTGGACCCCCCCCCCCCCCCGCCTCAGAGGCATCACGCAACTTTTTTTTCTACCGTCTGGGAGACGAAGGTTTCGAGCTTTACTCCTGTGCATGTTGGACCCGGCTGACACACCAGAACAACTTGTGTACAGGTTCTCCTTCCTCTTCCTTCTCCAGCATAAACTCTTGTTTTTCCTCGGAGTAGAGACGGATCGCCAGCATGAATCAGACCGCAGGAACCAGGAGCGCTCTGGGACTTTGTGCTGCTCGATGCCACTCCCGGCCGGCAGCAGGAGATTCTTTATTTATTTGAATATACTTTTATGAATATTGAAGTGAATTACACAATTATTTTGTAAATCATGAATGTCTATGTTAGAACTTTGTGTATTTTAATAACAAATGCCAAACTAAAAGAGGCGCCGTTATAAATATGATTAGAAGCTTTTGATCTTCTGTCCTCAAAAAGCTGAGTCATGGCACGAAACACGTTTTCTACTGAAATGTTCCTTCTTTGATTTAATTTTCAGGATTAGTTTAAAACTTGCTGTAAATCTATCGCTTCTGGTTCTATACCCGTCGCTTTGTCAGACGTTTAGAGCATCGCCGGGTATCAGCCCACCTGCTGCAGGTGAGAGGAGGCAGATGGATGAGAGGAGCGTTTCTGGGGACAGACTTCCTGAATCCTTAATCTGGGCTGTCCAGCCCAAGGCTCGTTCGGGTTGGTGACACATTTGGGTTAATGTTCCGACCCGCATCTTCATGCCAGCTCATTAAAGCGGGCCGCAGGAGCAGAAGAACCAGAGCACGGACGACACCGGGCTGCGCGGATGTCAGTGCGCCTGAGCGACGTCCCGCCCCCCGTTGCTCTGGAGGAGATGAACAACAACGTCTCATCGATGCCGTTCACATCCTCAGCGGCTCGGTTCTTTTTGCTTCTTGGAGAAATCTGGACCTGCTGGGATTTTTCTGATGAACGACACTTTTTTGAGTCAGAAGAGTCCAAAGTGCTTTAAGCCACTTTGTCCGTTCACACGTTGATCACAGTGGCTCCTACAGGGGTGGTGTCCATGACAACGTCTGGGATCAGGGAAACTTTGAGAACAAAGGTCAGAAACTTTAATCCAGACGCACAAAATCTACGAAATTCCCTTCATTCCTGCAGGAATGTGTGGCTCCCATTTTATTTTAATGTTAGAATTAAATCCAAAGTCAAATTATTCTGAGAAATACTCAGATTATGGGTTAGGATGATGTTTTAGGTGACCGTCTGTAACACTGGTTAGGGTTAGGGTTCAAACATCACCGCTCACCTTGTGGCAGCAGGTGATGAAGATTAAACGGCTTCTAGATCAGGAGAAACCAGACAATCCTATCAAATAATCTCATAACCCTCATTAGTTTTATTTCATCTTTATTTATTTATTTTTCAGTTTTATTCCAGTCAGCTGTTAAGTCGGTGAAAACAGACGTGATGAACAGGAATGTGTTCCCGCTCCGGGTTTATTCTGAACGTCTTCAAAGCTCCGTCTGACCGAACGGCAACACGAAAACCAGAAAATGACTCCAGTCAGAGGAAGCTTCCTGTAATTCTCTCAAGTATTTTTCCCAAACAAAAAGAAAGTTGATTTGTTTACGGAAGCTTTCATATCCTGGTGTTTACGAGTGTGTGTGGATAAAGACGACCGGAAAACAAACAACCCGAAAGTGAATTCACTGTTTCTGTGTGATTCTCAGCTGAGAGTCGGTAACGTGTTGTTCAGAATGAGCTTTATTAAGTTGTTGTTTATTTTTTTCTCCAAACCCTCTCATTTCCTCAGATTAGCTGTAAACAACAATCAGAGAGTAAACGTTTAAATAAAGACACGAGGCGTGTTTGCATTGTTGGAACTTCAAGGTGAAGTCTGTAGAGTGGAAAATAAGATGTCTTCTCAGCTCGTGTGTCCATATGAAGTCAGCCTTTCAGGGCTTTGCACACAAGTCCTGCTTTGGCAGTGAGTGATGTCACGGATCAGCGCCCAGACGCGTCCACAGTAATGTTCGAAGTTTCATTCTGAACAGCAACTAGATTCATTCAGAGAACCGGGACAGCCGCTGTTTGCTGTAAAATGACCAGAAGAAGCTTTGAGACACACCAAAGCCCCGTGGCTGGGGAGGGGTGTGCTGTCCGTGGCTGGGGAGGGGTGTGCTGTGTTGGGAGTTTCGACAACTTTAAACGGTGTTTATTTGCTCGTGCTTCCATTCTGCATCAAAAGTGCAACTTTTCTCATTTTTCTAATGCCGGTTGTTTTGGTCGACGTCTGCTGATTCCTACTTAGTTACAATCAGTCAGTGGGAGCTCCGCTAAGCGACTCAGCCAGGCCTTTCCGAGTACCTGCCCCTCTTCAGGCACTCGGTTGGTTCCCGGTAAACGGCCCGGTGAAGAGGAGACGCGCAGTGATAAACACAAATAAGACTAAACGCATGGTCATGGGATCTAGACACTTTAAAAACGAATCCACTCTTTAGCTTGACCTTGGATGGTTCTGTTGTTGAACAGGTTGATGAGTTATTGGGTGTTGTTGTTGATAATAAACTATCCTGGGTGAATCAGATTAACTAGATGATGACTGGGAAGAAGTACGGCTACTATCAGACGTTGTAGGAAATTCGTTCCATTTCACTTAATTAAACTAGTTCAGTCACTGGTGCTCTCACACTTAGACTATGCCTCTGTGGTTTGGTCCAACACCGATGAAAATCGTCTAGACACGTTACAAATTGCGCATGACAAGGCAGCGTGCATGTTATAGGGGAGTCCGTACAGGAGCCGCGTGAATCTGTTACACAAACAGCTGTCCTGGCTAAAGTAAGACAGAGATTGGAGTTTTCATTAACTATGTTCATTAGAAATATCATTACGACGAAAACTCCACATGTCATTTATTCCACCTTGTCTTTCTTCGCAGACAAACACGATTATTCCACAAGACAAAGTATGCACGGACGATGTGTGCAGAACCAATCAGATACACAGAACTGGTCTATCGGTGCGAAGGAAGGCACCGCCAGGATCTCTGATGAGGGAAAGTGATCAAAAATGTTTTCAGAAAAAACTCCAAATATTTTTATTTTCCCAAAGATAATGTCGAGCTAAACATCTTCTGCAGCGAGCCGTTTCAGATCTTAACAAAGTATTTTGTTATGTTTGGGCTTTTGAGAAATGATTTTTGATTTTTCTACACTGCAATATTATGGTGTGTGTGTGTGTGTGTGTGTGTGTGTGTGTGTGTGTGTGTGTGTGTGTGTGTGTGTGTGTGTGTGTGTGTGTGTGTGTGTGTGTGTGTGTGTGTGTGTGTGTGTGTGTGTGTGTGTGTGTGTGGTCATGTATGAATGA